CGTGCAGATCGAAACTCCGATCCACGGTCCAGATCGCAGGCTTCGAAAACTGGTTCAGTCCTTGGCCTAAAACGGCCTGCCTGGGTCCCTACCGGACGTCCAGGCCCTGTCCAGGATTAATCTTCCTGGTACCTGGCTTCAAACCGGTCCTGTGCGGACGTACCCGGCCTCAACGTCGGCCTGGGTTCGAACAGGTCAAAATCTGTTCGAAAACAAAAGAAAAGGTCCAACGTTTTTAGGAGCTCAGCCTCTGGGCCTGAATCTGGCCCTGGCCCTAGAAGCGTGTACCTGGCCACAAAACGGACAACAGTACACCCGTTAGAAAAACAGCAGCAAATAAATAAAATAAAGACTATAAAAATAATCTAAAGCTGGTGTTTTTCTGATGCAGGCCCAAGTAAAAATGCCATAGGGCCTTCAGGTTGTGTTGACGCGACCTGGGGGCCCTATTCCAACCTCGGGTCCCGTGAGGGGCCCGTGTGTAGGCTTTCAGCATGTAACACGCCCCCCTCCTTATGAAGACGAGCCRGGGCGCGGGCGAAGCTGCCGATCCGATGGCGGAATCTAGCGAGGATGGCGAGGAGCTGGAGTGCTCTGCGTAGTCTTCCCTTTGCTAAGATAGCTAGAGAGAACGGCGGGGGCTGTGGCCTGCAGTTCCGAACGCGTCAGCCAACGGTCAGCCTTGTGGCTGCAGTAGGAAAAGTGAAGTAGAAACTCTGTTTCTTTGTTGCCATGGCGCCGGTCGGTGATGATGTAGCCGGCCTCCTGAAATCCGTCCATGGAAGGAGGGTCTTGCATACATCGACCGGGAAACTCATTGGACTCCGCTGAAACAAAAGGAGCGAGTTTGGAACAGTGGAACACCGTGTGGACCGGCAAGTGAGGTGGCACCGCGATGCGTAATGAGGGCCCCTCGGGATCATCACCAGCTGCAGAGAGAATGCGCCAAGGCCACATCCACTTGGGAAGGAGCTTGCGAGAGATGTCTTGCTCAAGGCTGAACTCCGCTGCGGAGACCCAAACCAGATCGCCGGCACGGAACGGGCAAGGAAGGCGATTGCGGTTGGCTTGACGGCTCATCCGTATTTGCGTCTTCGACATCTGATCCCGTGCCTTGACTAGAAGCTCTTGCATGCGACGAAGGAACGCAAGATGGTCGTCGCTCTCGGCTGTGCGCGACAAAGTAGCGTCCAGCGGCGATGAGATGGGTGAACCATGCTCAAACTCGAACGGCAACATCCCGATAGCTGGGTGGATCGATGAGTTGTAAGCCAACTCAACGTCTGGCAAGCGCTCGACCCAATCAAACTGGTCGGGACGGATGAGAGTGCGGAGAAGGACTTGAGCGGTCTGATGCGCCCTTTCCGTTTGACCATCGGTTTGCGGGTGGCGAGCCGAACTCGGCTTCAAAGATGAGCCCCATCGCTTGACGAGGGCGACCCAAAAGTCGGAGAGAAATCGAGTGTCCCGGTCGCAAACGATCTCCTTGGGGTAGCCCTTGGAGCGAATCCAACCGGTGTATAAGACCTCGGCTAACTCTGGTGCCTTTGCGTGATAGCGGCAAGACAAAAACATGGCGTACTTGGTGAGGCGGTCGACGACCGTGAGGATCCCATCAACGCCGGTCTTGTGCTTCGGGAAGGGGCCGGTGATATCCATAGCAATTGCTTCCTGTCGCCCAAAGGGCACTGGTAATGGGTGTAGCTCGCCGAACGGACGATGGTTGCGTGCCTTGCAACGCCGACAGACTTCGAACGACTCACAATAGCGGGTGGCGTCCTTGAGAAGGTCGGGCCAATAGAACCGCTGGCGAAGTCGGCCAAGTGTACGGATGACACCAAAATGTCCGGAGGCGGGCACATTGTGAAACTCGCCAAGAAGCCGTGTGCGCAAGTGTAAATCATTCGGCACACAAAGAAGATCCTTACCCCGTGAATGCACAAGTAAGTAGCCCTCTTGGATCCGATAATGCGAAGGCACTGGATTCGGAGAGGAGCAATTCGCGTACTTGTCGCGAAAGTGGGGGTCGGCTTGATAGCCGCGGATGAAGCTCTCCCGCAAGTCGTCGTCGATCTCGAAGGTAGAGTAGACTGCGGTGCAAAGATCCGGTCGCCGTGAGAGGGCGTCCGCAAAATGGTTTGACTTCCCGGGAATGTGATCGGGGAAAAAGTCAAACTGGTCGATGAAAGCCATCCAACGGGTAATGGTACTCTTAATCGTGTCTTGCGACTTGTAGAATACCAACGGATTGTTATCCGTTACCCATCGGAATGCTTCCCGACCAAGGAGGAAATGTCGCCAACGCTTAAGGGCGTGGACGAAGGCAAGAAGCTCCTTCTTCCGTGCGTCGTCGATCGAATGCACGGGAGGTACTTTCTTGCTAAAGTACTCGACCGGGTGCCAGTCCGTGCCATCGTGCTGCTCAAGGACGG